GGCATAGCATGATTGGGCAAAGAAAGACCCTTTCTGCCTATAATCTGTTATGATGGATTCCTGGGTATTTGCCCACTCTGTTGGGCAAATTTCCTACAGATCAACATGAAGATGAACTGTCATGAATGACTGCTGTTTAGATGAATTACTGATTTTACAGAATTTCTGATTTGATTCAAATATTTTCAAGAAGTTAAGAAGCTAAGACAGGCCGGGCAGTGGTGGCGCACGCCTTTAGTCCCAGCACTTGGGAGGCAGAGGCAGGCGGATTTCTGAGTTCGAGGCCAGCCTGGTCTACAGAGTGAGTTCCAGGACAGCCAGGGCTATACAGAGAAACCCTGTCTCGAAAAACCAAACCAAAAAAAAAAAAAAAAAAAAAAAAAAAAAGAGGAAACTACTGACTTTCATTCTAGGTCAGGTCCAGGGATGAGGTCACAACTGTGCACCTTGATAAAGTAAGGAGTGGGTATTTCTATTACAAAAACAACAACAAAAACCACACTTAGGGGCTGGAGAGATGGCTCAGCGGTTAAGAGCACTGACTGCTCTTCCAGAGGTCCTGAGTTCAAATCCCAGCAACCACATGGTGGCTCACAACCATCCGTAATGAGATTGGATGCCCTATTCTGGTGTGTCCGAAGACAGCGACAGTGTACTCATAAATAAAATAAATAAATAAATCTTTAAAAACCACACTTAGAATGAGCTTATGGAGTGAAAGACAGATAAAATTACTGCTTTAAACTTGTAACCAACAATCCTGCCGTAACTCCCTTGTACTCTAATGCTAAGCACTGGCTCTCAGGATCTGGTTGCTCCCAGACAACCACTAACAGCAAGTGATCTTATGTAAACCCTGCTTCCCTATTTTACTGGTCCATAAAAGGATTGGGCAGGGGGCTGGAGAGATGGCTCAGTGGTTAAGAGCACTGACTGCACTTCCAGAGGTCCTGAGTTCAAATCCCAGCAACCACATGGTGGCTCACAACCATCTTTAATGAGATCTGATGCCCTCTTCTGGTGTTTCTGAAGACAGCTACAGTGTATTCATAAATAATAAATAAATACATCTTTAAAAAAAAAAAGGATTGGGCAGTAGAGGGAGAAAGGTGGGACTTGAGAATAGAGTGAGGAAGTTGCAGGGGGAGAGGTGGAGGAGCCCCTTATGAGGGGAGCTAGACAATGAGCACCTGGCCAGGAAAAGCAGCAAATAACAAGGGACACTGTGGCTGAGAAGTAAGTTAGAATAGTTCAAAACCAGCCCAATCTAGGTTTATAGCTTGTAAATAAAATACCTGGATTGTGTGACTTTTTTACTAGATAGAAGGAATAATTGCATTTATACTCCCACTTGTGTAACATTTTGTCTGTTTTTGAATGAAGTAATTATTTTTCTTCCACAGAGAACTTTACCATGGGGGTAGAGAGGGCATGTATAAAAAGCTAAGACAAAAAACAAAGTTGTTACAACTTGCTCCTTAGAGTTTTGTTGTATTCATCAATTATGTGTATGTGTAATATATATATTTACATATATTAAATGGTTAGATCTAAAGTAGTTTAGGCAAAGGAAACCAGTTCCTATTCCCTAAGGTGTGAGCAGAAAAAAAAAGAGAGAGAGAGTGCAAAGACATTGAATTGTGGTTCATTTAAGACATGAACGTTACAATATTTCTTACTGGATTGAATCTGAACTATAAAATAAGTATAGATGATATCAAAAATTTAGGACTGCACAAGTAGTAAATCTCATCAGCACACAGCAGGAACAGATCACACAGCTCAGGGGATGTGTCTAGAAGGCCTGTAGACCAGGGAGTCCCAGACTCTCCTGTGCACAGGAGTCCCCTGAACATCTCAACAAGACTCAGAAAGAAGCCAGGCTTGGAGACACAGGCCTTTAATCTCAGTACTCAGGACAGAGATAGGTACCTCCTATAATAAGACCTGAGTTCAAGGCCAGCCTGATTGTACTTCCAGTTCCAGGTCATCAAGGATTCATAGTGAGACTAGAAAAAAACAAAACAAAACAAAAAAAGATTTAGGAAGTCTGGTGAAGAGTCAAGATTCTCTGTATAACCAAGTGAGTACAGAGGCTGCTAGTGTTCAGAAAACAGAACTTCAGGGATGTAGACAAAGATGTCCTGGGTTATGCATCAGCCTCACTTATGGAAGGTTACATAAGTACTTCTGGCTACCGGGTATGGAGGTTCATATATGTCTTCCTAGTGTTCCAGAGCAGGGAAAGAAGGGCTGCAGAAACTCCAAGGCCCATATGGATTTGTGTGACCACTTTTATTGTTGTGACACAATACCCAACATGAGCAAATTAAAGGAAGAAGTTTATTGTGGTTCATGGTTTAAGACGGTACAGTCCATCTCAGCACAAGGCATAGTGGAGCACATGGCAGCAGGAGCATGTAGCTGGGATTCCTCAGACTTCAGTAGATCAGGAGGCAGAAAGTAGAGATCCTCTTATCTGGCTTTCTCTTGTCCTTTTATCCTTGGGTCCCAACCCAAGAGATGATGTCACTCACATTTGTGGTGGGCCTTCCATCCTCAACTAATCTCTGGAAACACTCTTACAGATGTGAATTACTAGAATTGCATCTCCCAGGAGATTCTAAATCCAGTCAAGTTGACAATGAAGGTTCCTCATTACAGCTACATAGTGAGTTCCAAGCCAGCCTGGGGTGCAGTGTGGGATGCTATTAACAAACAAACAAACAAACAAACAAACAGAAAAAGGCAGAATGAGTCCTGGGCTACATACAAAACAGTCTAAATGGGGGATGTGGAAAGAGTCTTTGGTATTTTGGGACAAAATTGTGACCACTGATGTTAGTGGTAAGGACAGTGTCTGTGATGGAAACAGGTTTTATATGGGCATTACATTTTGGGAGCAGCAGTGGGAGTGGGGGTTAGGAGTTGGGGAACAGCTGAGAATAAAGAAATTCAAGGGCAGTGGTGGCGCACGCCTTTAATCCCAACACTTAGGAGGCAGAGGTAGGAAGATTTCTGAGTTCGAGGCCAGTCTGGTCTACAGAGTGAGTTCCAGAACAACCAGGTCTATACAGAGAAACCCTGTCTCAAAACACACACACACACACACACACACACACACACACACACACACCCACACACACACAATTGATATGAAATTAAAGGGGGCTAGTGAGATGGCTCAGCAGCTAAGAGCACTGTCTGAGCTTCCAGAGGTCATGAGTTCAAATCCTAGCAACCACATGGTGGCTCACAAGGATTTATAGGGGGGATCTGATGCCCTCTTCAGGCAGGCGGATATATATGCAACATTCTATTTCTACCTTGTACTGAAGAGGTCAGCTCAGGAACTTTGGAATACTTGTCCCTCCAGAAGAGAGAGGCTAATTAATTAACATTCTTCAGACCACAGGGAGTGAAGTGGGGACCAACCTGCGGGGGTGGTGGTGGAAATTCAATATATGATCTTGGAGTGCTGGTATCCAAGGATAAAAGGAAGAACAAGGGAAAGCCAGAACAGAACGAACAAGCCCATCAACATCAGTTCTCACATGGGATCCGTGGGGCACAGGGATCACTGATCTCCTTACTGACACCTTGGCACTGGTCTCTGTGGCTGGGACAGCTTGCATGGAAACCATGTCAATGTCACCCTTGCCAATTTCATTCTCTGCAGCTCCAGCTTTTTCTTATCACCACAGGCTGGGTCAATGTCCAGCCGGGTCAAGGGCCAGCATGTGGTCATTCAGCTGGTGGAGCTGAGGACTCATACGTTATCCCAGCTGTAGAAATGTCTCCGAAAGCGACGGAGCTCTCTGGTTCCTTTCTATACTCTTAGTAGCTGTTTCCCTAGTGTGTAAAGAGAGTCAAGGAGCTGGGACAAGATGGTACTGTCAGACTCTGATGAGCCTTACCTTACTGGGGACCCACTGAGTGAACAACGCAGAGCTGGGGATCAACACCAAAAAAAAAAAAAAAAAAGAGGAATTTTATTGTTCCAGCATGCTGGGGTCATCCTGCATCCAAAAGGAGAGGCAAGGACCCCAGGCAGCTAGTTCAGTGGACCTTTATACAGTTTCCAGAGATATCATAGAGAAACAGCAGCTAGGCACACTATGATTGCAGAACAGCGTGATTTTTAAACTCATTGGTCTTTAGGGAATGATGTAGCAGGGACTTCCCGTGTCTGTGGATGGTCAATGGTCCATCCTGTGGAATGTGTCCATGTGCTCTGGACCTCCCCCACCTGCAGGTTGGTCCCCACTCCCTGTGGTCTGAAGAATGTTAATTAATTAGCCTCTCTCTTCTGGAGGGACAAGTATTCCAAACTTCCTAAGCTGACCTCTTCAGTACAAGGTAGAAATAGAATGATGAAAGCAGATTCCTGGGAAAGTTATCTGAGTAACTCCACATAGGGCAAGAGAATGACTGATAGGGATTCAGGATGGTGATGTCCTGGAGGAATACCCCTCCCCTGAGCCCTGGGGGCTAGAGCAGCCAGGCTTTGTGGCACACACCTTTAATTCTAGTACTCAGGTAAATCTCAAGAGTTTAAGAGCAGCCTGGTCTACAGAGTCAGCTCCAGGATAGCCAGAGGTTTATAGAGAGACCCTGTCTCAATAACAAAGACAACAAAAGGTGCTACACAGAGCCCTAGGTTGGGTAAGCACTCATACATAGTTGCATCTCTCTCTCTCTCTCTCTCTCTCTCTCTCTCTCTCTCTCTCTCTCT